GGCTGACTGACCCTATTCTTGCAACCCCCATGCTGGTCATAAATAGACTCTTTGGAGATCCTGGTTGTAAGGACAGATAGCTGTTATGCATCCCCAGCCACACACTAGGTATCCTAACGCTACTGAATGGTCAAACAAAATTAAAAAGAAGAAAAACACAGACCAAGGTTACCTTCTCATTATAATACAATCCTCTGTTGCTACTGTCATTACAACTATACTGTATGTAATAATGGTATGAAATGTTCCGAAGTAATTTGGGATTTTGTTGGAGGCCTATCTACTCTGCTTTTGTAACCAATGGGGCGGAGACTGGTCTTATTGTTCTCTTGTATTGTAAGCCACACCATTTTATTTTATATCTTTTGCTTTCTTTGGTATTCACTTGCTCTTTAAAACTTCAAAAACATGAACACCTTTTTAATAAAAGATCACTTTGATGAAAACAAGTTCAACCAAAAGAAAAATAAATAAATACAAAACCTGTATCCCCGAAACCCTAAACCCACAGATGATCCAGGGGAAGGTGAAAACCTCCTATAAAGCAAGGAATAATTTGCAAGAAAAAGAAAATTCCTTCCTAATCTCCAAGGCAATCAGATACCAGCAGCAGTGGTGTATTTTGTTTTTGTGCTGCCCTAGGCAGAATTGGGTGCACCCCCCACAATCTAAAAAAGGAGAGAGAGACGTTCCTCCATCACTCACCTCCGGAATGAAAGCAGCCATCCCCAGAGACATAGTCAGGAAAGTCCAGTGTAGTCCTTGTGTGGGAACAAGAGTTGGCCTCTACCTGCACCCTCCAGCAGGCGACAGCCTCTCTCTTGGATCCCATGGCAGAGCTCAGGCAGTGCCTAACCTGGCTCCCATCCTCTTTTACCTGCCAAGTGTGTCCCTTCCGGCAAACGCCTTGTTTACCTTGCGGTAATTAGGCCCCTCTAATGCAGAATCAACTTTTTTTAAAACAATCCATAGAGTTGACTAGAACTAACTAATCTGAAAGCCTATTTCACATTTTCACAGCTCACACTGTAAAAAAGACTTTGTATGTGGAGGCTACAGCTTTTTTACTGCAAAAGCAAAGAGTGCCCTTTAAAGGCAATGACCTTTAAAGTGAACAACTTTGTACCAAGCTTACCATTTGGACCACTGATGTATTAATACAAGATGATCATGATCCCAACGCAATTGTGACTTACCCTTTACAGGCACAAAATGATTGCAGCAGACAGGCACCCACCATTGGGACATTTATTAGATAAGTTGGAAAATGGAGCATTTTTTGTTATTCTCTACTGAATTGTCTGGGATGCATTATGCGGTGGATGTACACTGTACATCAGATGGAAAACAAGATAACTGTCATTCTTTGGTAATGAAACATTCCAAACAAATCATGTCTTTTCCCATTTTATAGGAAAAATGGGATCAAATCTTTCCCTATGATTCTTTTTGTCATCCAGCTGAAGCAAAAGACATGACTGGTCCCAGAAGAGCCATGATTCCAGTAGATATTTATTGCCACCGTAGGTGATAGCCTGCACTTTGAAGTGACAAAATTCATTGTTTCAATGCACCACCAGCTCTAGGACATCTGGCAATCTACTAACTAATTGACTTTGATCTATACTGACTCAGCTGGGCATTAATAATAATTCTTTCTAAATAAAAATAACCATCTTTTGCAGTTTTTGTTTGCAGTCTTTAAATATATTTTAACGTGTGTCTTGTGCATTTGAAACAAAATATTACTCCATTAAAAAAGGTTATAATAAAGAAGGCTCTCATTATTTCCACTAAGACAAAAAAGGTTGAGATCTACTGTATCAATGAACTGGCAAGCCTGTAATACTAAATTCATCCATTTAACCAATTACTGAAAGCAGAGAAGCAGAAGTACATTTATTTAATCACTTAGGTGTGCACACAAAATGAAATGCTTTATGTTCCTGCATAATTTGCTGGTGATCTTTAAAGTCCAACTCCAGATTCAGCTATTTTATACTGTTTGAAATCCCTTTGCCTTGCCTGCAGCATATTTGCAATGCACTACTTACCCTCGTTACAATTCTGTGCTGTTTTGAGCATCCTGCTTCCTCACCTGTGCGTCACTTTCTCACCCAGCTCCACACAACCCCTTCCTGTAAGCTCAGGTGGACACCCCTAATGGTCTTCAGAAATACAGGGGACATCACCTCCATGCTGCCTGTGTTTACTGTGGGTGTTACTAATAGTGGTCAGCATATCATTAGAATTTGCCCAATAACACCCACTTCATCACTTGCCCCCAGCAGCAAGAAACTGAAGCTTTCAGGGCAAAGGAACAGTTGTTTGCAAAGGGTCTTCCTGAAGTCTGGATACTTACCTTGCCAATGCCCACTTGCCGCTCCTGCCTTCCTTGCAGCCAGTGAAAATACCTATCTTCTGGGTATGAAGAGGCATATAACCTCCTCCTATATGACAGTACTCAGTTCTAGCAGTCAATCATTTGATCTACAGCCCTGGCCAAAAGTTTTAAGAATGACACAAATATTAATTTATTTGCAAGAAAAAATGTGCAGTTATTACTGCTTTGCACAAAAAGGGATTCACAGGCAAGGATATTGCTGCTAGTAAGATGGCACCTAAATCAATCATCAAGAACTTCAGGGAGAGAGGTTCAATTGTTGTGAAGAAGGCTTCAGGGCACCCAAGAAAGTCTGAAAAAGCACCAGGACGTCTCCTAAAGTTGATTCAGCTGCAGGATCAGGGGACCACCAGTGCAGAGCTTGCTCAGGAATGGCAGCAGGCAGGTGTGAGTGCATCAGCACGCACAGCGAGGCGAAGACTTTTGGAGGATGGCCTGGTGATAAGAATGGCAGCAAAGCAGCCACTTCTCTCCAGGAAAAACATCAGGGACAGACTGGTATTGTGCAAAAGGTACAGGGATTGGACTGCTGAGGACTGGGGTAAAGTCATTTTCTCTAAAGAATTGTTTGGGGCATCCGGAAAAAAACCAGAGAAGAAGAAAGAAGAAAAGGTGAGCGTTACCATCAGTCCTATGTCATGACAACAGTAAAGCATCCTGAGACCATTCATGTGTGGGGTTGCTTCCCAACCAAGGGAGTGGGCTCATTCACAATTTTGCCTAAAAACACAGCCATAAACAAAGAATAGCACAGAAACATCCTCTGAGAGCAACTTCTCCCAACCATCCAAGAACAGTTTGGTGACGAACAATGCCTTTTCCAGCATGATGGGGCACCTTGCCATAAGCCAAAAGTGATAACTAAGTGGCTTGTCAATCCTCAAAAGGCGAGTGAACAAACCCCCCCCCCACAATTTCTGATGAACTCCAAGCATTGGTTATGCAAGAATGGGCTGCCATCAGTCAGCATGTGGCCCAGAAGTTGATTGACAGCATGTCAGGGTGAATTGCAGGCGTCTTGGAAAAGAAGAGTCAACACTGCAAATATTGTCTCTTTACATAACCGTAATGTAATCGTCAATAAAAGCCTTTGATACTTATGGAATGCTTGCAATTATACTTCAGTATACCATCGTAGCATCTGACAAAAAGATCTAAAAACACTGAAGCAGCAGACTTTGTGAAAATTAATATTTGTGTCAATCTCAAAACATTTGGCCAGGGCTGTAGGTCACATAACTGCAGGAGTGATGTCAATGATTGGGGATTTTAGTTCTGGCTACAATGGTGGGAAAAGTGATTGGAGAGCACTGACAGGGTAAGTATCAGGGGCTTTCACAAAGACACTCTAACTTTGCCCAAAATGCCTTTTTAAGTGGTTCTAAAACCAGATATGTTTTTTTACATAATTTTCTGTATTAAGGTAAATATGTCCGAGTATTTGTATCACCCCCTCACCCATCCCTATGTTAACTCGATCCACCGCTGTGCTCGCTCTAGCAACTCTCTGCCTGCATTCACAGAACAGAGAGGCAGCAGCACGAGCCATTGGCTTCTGTTGCTGTCAATCAAATCCTGTGAGCAGTAAGCGGGGGGTAAAGGTCTATGGACGCACGCAGCACTGCTCGGGAGTGAGCCTGCATATGCACCCCTATAGGAAGTGGCTTCTTATGGTGGCACACAAAGAAGAGGAGGAGCCAAGAGTACTGGCAGGGGACACCAGAAGAGGAGGTTCAGAGCCGCTCTGTGCAATACTATTTTAAAGAATATCTTAGCCTTTACAGTCACTTTAAAGGTGCAAATTGTGAGAAATTTTCATGACATTGTTTTATTCTTCTGGTCACATGTGGACATTTGTGGCTAAATTCAGCAACATAGTTGTATAGGTAAGAGTATGCAGTGGTTTGAGAGGAGTCAGAAGATTTACTACAGTTCAAGAAATTTGAAAACATCTCTCTTTATTCTGGTGTGATAGCTTGTATAGTTGAAATGAAGTCGGGAATATACAGCAGATCTCATGCTGCCTCTATAAGAACATTCTGACCTTTAGTTCTTACTTCATTGCATGACGCAAAGTGCTTAGACAACAAGGAGCTTGTAGGAGGACACAAGGAGCCTGTACAAAAGAGTGTCATCATTCAGCTTTGTCTAGGACTTCATGATATCTAAACATAACCCTGTCTGATGTTTATTATAAATACAGCTATGCAGACCCATACCCCTCACAAGTAGCAAATGTGCCTCTACTAACTACTGCACACAGTGAGGTTGCTTGGGAAGACAAGTATTCCTGAACCTGGGTGACGACTATGCCAGCAAGGGCCATGGGCTCAACAGACTTCTGTATCTGTTTCACCTGTTGTGATTCTAAATAGAAACAGATATCTATTGCACACATAATTAGCATTATGACGTTGAAGCAGTATTGAACCCAAAACGAAAAATGTAATATATTGCAGCTTACTAATCATGAGATGTGGTGGCTGCATTAATTTTCTTTTTTAAGGCATTTTTTCACCTGGTGATCTGGCCAGTACACCACTCCTTTATCACAGTGCCTCCACTTTGGGTAAAGGAGCAACAGAGACATCTTCAGACAGCAACGTTTCCAGGGGCGGACTGACAACTCATGGGGCCCCCGGGCAATAGGGGATCATGGGGCCCCTATGTCCTTGCCCAAACTCAAAAAAGCCTATGAAAAAGGTACCAGGGGCATCTCATGGGGCCCCCTACTGAGCCCGGGCCCTCGGGCAGTGCCCAGGTTTCCAAATGGTCAGTCCGCCCCTGAGCGTTTCTAATCTGGGGGGGGGGGGGAGGGTAGTGTTAGATGTAGTAGCAGTTTTAACAAATTGAAGCCAAAATCCAGGCCACACTTTATAAAAAGTCACAACAAAAGTTTTTTTCCCTTTTAGGATAAAGGTGTTACATACATGAATAAAAGCTGATCATCGTAAGGACCTCTGTCAATGGTAAATGGTTTGTCTCAACCCTCTAACTGCTACATTTGCAGGAGAGCTTGTTCTGTTGACTATAACAGACTTACGGGCTGGATCACCAGGTGAAAATAAAGAAAAGAAAGTCTAAACAAGGAAACGAATGCAGCCATCACATCTAAGAATCGGTAAGCTGCAATATGCTACAAGTTTGCTTTTGGGTTTAATACCACTTTAATTGAGCAAAACATGATGTGTTTTTTGCTTTTGACAGTACTACGCTGATTGAGAATTTGTTGGTATAAAACTGTATGTCTACACAAGCTTTAATAATATGATTTTTAAATACCTGCCAGGTAGATTTTGAGTTATGTTTTCACTACATAAAAAGCACCTTAAGATTCAAAAGAAATACTAGGAATACAAGCTAAATGCACATTTTATTTGGTGAGCCTAGCATTGTAAAAATGTCAATAATGATATTGGTAAAAAACAATGGAAATCCGGGTGGGGAAATCTTTCCATGGCATCCCAGCTCTACCCCTGCTCCCTACAGTCTACTCACTTAATGTCCATCAATGTGATCTGAGCTTAGGCTGCATTTTCTTTTACTCACTATGCTTTACAACCACAATACAAGGCATATTGGTGAGCAGCAGTTATGGGAGATTTCCCCACTTCTAAATATTACAAAAAGACACCAGGCAATTATAATCTCTCTATGTACATTTGTATGCTGACGACACTCAACTCCTAACTCAGAAAATAACCTTCTTTTGCTCTCAGCCTCCTCCAAATTACAAATTCCATTTTATTGGTGCTGTGATCTGACTTTCTGTCAGAGGATGTATAAGTCTGTTTTCAATGGTCCCGTTGTATATAGGTCACCCTCTCTCTCTCTCGAGATGAACTGTGGTTTATAGACTATGGCCATTGTTCAGAGCCTGCAGCCTGAGGGCAACATGTGGCCCTTTGGTCTATTACAGGCATCACTTTATGGCAGACAGCGGTCCGCATCTGGACTGAGTCAATGTCCTATCTGGACCGCCGCAGACCTGCCATTTAGGTGCCATTCTGCCTAGAGCCTTCAGCTGCTGCTGCTGTGATTCTTATTCTCACAGAGCTGACAGTGAGAGGCGGAACTGTCTGAGTTAACAAGCAGGTGATTGGTTGCAAGGATGCATGGCGGTTGCAGCAACCAATCTACCGGATTGCAGCTCCCACCCTCTGTCCAGACCTGCTGTGCCTCCCACCCTTCTTCCTGTCTGCGTAAGGTAGGACAGGAAGGAGGGGGTTTATGAAGGGGGGCTGAGGATATTAATGGGGTCACTGAGAACAGTAATGTATTAATGGGGGCAGTTAAAGGGGGGAGCTCAGGACCGTAACGGGGAGCTCAGGACAGTTAAGGGGGGAGCTCAGGACAGTAATGGGGGGGCTCAGGACAGTAATGGGGGAGGACAAAGGACAGTAATGTGTGGGCTCAGGATAGTAGTGGGGGAGCTCAGGACAATGATGGGGGGGGTGGAGGACAGTAATGGGGAGGACTCAGGTCAGTGCAGGAGAGACTAAGGACGGTAATGTGTGAGCTTAGGACAGTAATGGGGGAGCTTAGGACAGTAATGGGGGGACAGAGGACAGTATCGGGGGGAGGGGGGGGGGCTCAGGACAGTAATAGGGGAACTGAGGACAGAATTGTAAAGGGGGCTTAGAACAGTAATGTGAAGGGGGGTATTTTGATGTGAAGGAGAGTGACTGTGATGTGAAGGGGGTCTAAAGCCGGATTGTGATATGAGGCTCCATTCAGATTTGTTCCTGACCCTTTTTTTTAATCACACTGCATGGTGCTGCATGGTGCTGCAGCACCAAATGGTTTGGTGCATGCGAAAATGTGCCATAGGTGCCGATGTGTGGGGATGCCATTAAGAATTAAACGCAGCACATTTCTCTGCAGGTTTGGAACACTTGTGATTTTGCACATGTTCCCCAGCCACAGAGGGGTGAACCTAGCCTAAGAAGATAGGGAGCTGTGATGTAAAAGGATCCAAGTCATAGCACAAACATACAATTCGGAACTCAGCTTGAAGAAACTTTTACTGATTTTCAACATCCCTGCCTGCAGTTTCTGACAGTCCTATTAAGCATTGCATGTATTGAACATTATGTGTGGCCCTTTGGTGACGTCAGGGGCCACATTTGAGGTCCCCTTTAGCTCTGGAAAACTACTGGACTATGGGATTGGTAGTATACATAGAGCAGTGCACATGACTACAACTAACATGCATTGCTCGTTCCCAACAAACAGAAAGTGAAGGAAAAAGGGGAGGTTTGGGAGCTCACAGACAACATTGCAAAAAGGCAACAGAAAAAAAAATACTGCAAAAAACAATTTAATGAAAAATTTATTACAGGCCATTAAGTAGTGAGTGTTTATGGATTATTTTTTGAAGAATAAAGACATAATTTAGTGTCACTTTTGACTTTGAAAGTACATGTACTTTCAAACGTACTTTCAGCACAATGGCTAAATGGTTAGCACTTCCACCTGGTAGTACTAGGGTCATTGGTTTGAATCCCAACCACGGCACCACCTGCCTGGAGTTTGCATGTTCTCCCTCTTCCTGCATGGATTTCCTCCGGGTACTCTGGTTTCCTCCCACACTCCAAAGACATGCTGGTAGGTTAATTGGATCCTGTCTAAATTAGCCCTTGTATATGAATGTATGAATGTAAGTTAGGGACCTTAGATTGTACGCCCCTTGAGGGATAAGGACTGATGTGCATGTACAGCACTGCGGAAATTGACGGCACTATTTAAATACCTGAAATAAATAGTAATTTTGCTATATTCAAATAATTTAAAAAGTGTTAACAGACCACCCACACATTGCATACTGGTGGTATACAGGCAATCACTGGGCATTCTCTCAAAATATGCCTGTTGTTTCTCTCAGTAAAATATAGTGTTTGAGGAATTTTCCTTCTCTGTAAATTATTTAATACCGAAGCTTGTGAACTGTAATTTCTTCAGCTTTGGTTTACAAGTTTTTATAAAATACAGCTGATAGTCAGTACAGTTTTCGTTTTATGTCTTTCAAATATGTATGTGTAAAGTCCTTCAATAAAAGAGGTATCTTCAAACCACAGTGCCAGTGTCTCCACTTACCCTCTCAGATTAGAATTCACTTACTTCAAAGGCCTTGCAAATCCATTACTGAGATGTACAAACAGTCTTTAAAGTAAGGCATGAACATGATAAAAAATGCTGTCAATGTGGTAAACTCTACCAGTAAAGGGAAACAGGTCTGTGAGTAACCCGAAAAGACTATCCTCTTTACTAGAAAGGGCATTACCATGGAAGGAAGAATGTGCCTGATAGGCATGGAACTGTCTCTAGATATGAAGAATCTAGAACAGGTAAACGGCTTGCACATATAAACTGGGCTTGGTGATAACCAGTTTATAGCATCCTGATTATAAAGCAACAATTCATTTTGTAAAAGGATACAGTAACAGGAAAACTATGGTAAAAAAACCCACCAGGAGTCCCAACCAACCAACCAACCAACGGGCGCTTGCCCCAGCTGATCACACAGAAAAACAAAGACTGGATCAGCTTAGTTTGGCTCTCTGATTTAGTAACCAGGAAGCGATGACCTTACATCACTTCTGGTTTACTTGGATACAAATGGCGCCATTTTTTATATTCCAATCTTTTTATTGAAAAGACCAAATGTACAAACCGAAAGTAGTACAAAAAGATGAGAGATATTGTCTTGTCTCATGTTATGTCCCCCTGCTACTGTACAGCGCTGAGCATACCCTTTGGCGCTATATAAATACTGTATAATAATAATATTGAGCTCTCAAGACAATAATCATAAGTAGCATTGGCATTGTACTGAAAGATTGAGGAAACAAACATTGCATATATATGTTGGTACAAGAAGTCCCTCTGGTGTAACCCACAGATAAAAAGGGTAAACAGCAACAATGAACAGAGTTCCAGTACATATTTCACTATGAAAAATTATTAATATTGAGCATGACCAAACAGCAGTCAGGTGCTAAAGTCAGATACACCGTAATAATGGAAACAAAAAGTATGAAGAAAGAATAAGCGAGGAAATCAGAAAAAAAGAGAATAAGAAAAAGAGTGAAGTAAAAGAGGGTCAGCCATGGTTCCGCTGAGGAACGGAAAGGTTGGTGCCATTTTTTAAAAAGAAAAGCATTTGATCACACCAATTTTGGTGTGATTAAAGTGATACTAAAGTCTTGTTTTTTTGTTTTTTTTTTACATAACAAACATGTTATATTTACCTGCTCTGTGTAGTGGTTTTGCACAGAGCAGCCCGGATCCTCCTCTTCTCGGGTCCCCCGCTGGCACTCCTGGCCCCTCCCTCCTGTCGGGTGGCTTCACAGCAAACAGCTCCTGAGCTGCAGCCCTGCGTTTCCATTCACACACAGAGCCATGTGTTCATTCACTGGCTGTGATTGACAGCATCAAGAGTGAGAGTCTCCGGAGAACCGAGGCTCTTGTGGATATCGCTGGATCGTGAAGGGGCTCAGGTAAGTATTGGGGGGCTGCTACACACAAAAAAGGTTTTTTTTACCTTCCTGCATAGAATGCAGGAAGGTAAAAAACCTTGGGCCTTTAGAACCACTTTAAATGATTTTAAGGGCAGAGGAGGGATTTGGGGTCTTACTGACCCCAGATCTCTCCTTAAAGAGTACCTGTCACATGCCTATTGCTGTCACTAGGGATGTTTACATTCTTTGTGACAGCAATAAAAGTGATTAAAAAAATGTTTTTAAAGTGACAGTGCAAAAAGAAAATACATTTAAAAAAAAAATTAAAGCACCCC